CATGGCGTGATACTAATATCCACATAAACATTGCCTCAAACAACTTCAGTGGAGGAATTATACACGAAAGTTTGCGGCAGGAATAACCACATCGCATGGCATACTGCGTCCGTATAAAGGGATTTGCTTAGGATTGCAATGAACTTTACAATCCATGCTAGAACGTTTGTATCTTAGGTAAGAATGAAACACACGTCAAAGATAAATATGCATTTTGTATATATACATATATCTATATCTAATATATCTATATCTATCCATCTATCTATCTCTATATGATATATATATATATATATATATATATATATATATATATATATATATATATATGAATACACACATACACATATGTGTGTGTGTATGTGTGTGTGTGTGCATGTATTTACGCACACACATACACACACACACACAGATATATATATAATATATATATAAATAATATATATATATATATATATATATATATATATAATTATTATACCATTATCATTACCATTAGTATTGTTATGATGATGACTATGACGATGATGATTATGGTTCCTATTATCGCTGTTATTATTACGAATGTATAGACTGGAATTCTCTGAATTTTCGTATTTGCAATTTTGCTTATTAGTAGCATTTGTATCATTATCATAGTAATCATTTGGTAAAGTCTAATACACATGTACGGAACAAATACAAGAATTAGGCCAATTACATTCACAAGATGGGTGTATCCGAGCTTAATATCCCCTCAACACCTCATGAGACCTGATGCTGGCAGAATCATTAATTTTCTCGGGAACCTGCTCTTGCCGTTCGTTGGGCTTGGGCGAATTAGCAATGGATTAAATGAGAGAGAGGGAGAGGGAGAAAGAGAGCGAGAGAGAGAAGGAGAGAGAGAGAGAGAGAGAGAGAGAGAGAGAAGGGAGGGAGAGAGAGTGAGAGACGGACGGAGACTGAGAGAGGAGAGAGAGAGACAGAGGGGGGAGGGAGAAAGAGAGGGGGTGCGCGCGCGCGCGAGAGAGAGAGAGAGAGAGAATAATAGTGTAACTGGAGTAGAGAAAATATGTTTTCTCTTTGGATCAGCGTTTGGATGAATTTACTACTAGTACATTTTCATTTCTTAGCCATCGCTGCCAACCCCAATACATAAAAGAAAATAGAAGTAAAGTAAGCTAGAGCAAAATCTATGCTCATGAATATTCACGAAGATCCCAGGGGGGTAAAAAGGCCCCTTTCCTGTCTTACTTCATCGCTTGCCTTCTCCTTTTTATTCTCTTCTCTTTCTCCTCCATCGTCGTCCACTGCTTACCCTCTCCACACGCTCGCCCAATGCACCCAAGAGCTAAAGTGTTATTAAATCGTTATTAAACAATTCACGTTTCAGTAAACGAGCACAAAAGGGCTGCGGGAGAAGGGGTGAAGACCAAAGGTTTAGTGGGGGAGGGAAAATGGAAAGTAAATAATATGAAAAGTCGAAGTTACGAGTTGAACGAGAGGCCGAAAGAAAAATAAACTGAAGTAGGAGGGAGAGAAGGAGGAGGAGGAGGAGATGATGATGATGATGATGAAGAAGAAGAAGAAGAAGAAGAAGAAGACGAAGGAGGAGCAAGAAGAGGAACAGGAAGAGAAGGAGGAGGAAGCAGAAGAAAAAGGGGAGGAAGAAGAGAGGAAGAGGAGGAAAAGGGGGAGGAGCAAGAGGAGGAGGAAGGGGGTAAGGTGAGGAGGGGGAGAGAAGGGGGAGGTGGAGGAGTAAGAAGAAGAATTAGAGAAGGTGGAGGAGGGGGGAGGGAAGCAGATGAAGAAGCGGAAGAGGAGAGGTGGGACGAAGAGGAGGAGAAGGAGAGTGGATTGAAGAAAAAGAAGAGGAGGAGAAGAAGGAGGAGGTGGTGGTTGAAGCAGAGGTGGAAGTGGAAGTGGAGAAGGAGGAAGAAGACGAAGAAGAGGATGGGGAAGAAGAAGAAAGAGGAGGAGGAGGAGGGGGAAGAATGTACAAAATTAAGAGGAATAACCATATAAAGAAGAAAATAGTAGTAGTAGAAGAAGAAGAAGAAGAGTAAGAGAAGGGGGGTAGAAGGAGGTGGAGGAGGAAGCATAAGAAGAAGAAGAGGAGGAAGAGGAGGAAAAGGGGGAGGAGCAAGAGGAGGAGGAATGGGGGAAGAGGAGGAGGGGGGAGAGAAGGAGGAGGTGGAGGAGTAAGAAGAAGAAATAGAAAAGGTGGAGGAGGGGGAGGAAGTAGAAGAAGAAGCGGAAGAGGAGAAGTGGGAGGAGGAAGAAAAGAAGAGGAGATTGAAGAAAAAGAAGAAGAGGAGGAGGAGGAGGAGGAAAAGAAGGAGGAGGTAGTGGTTGAAGTAGAGGTGAAAGTGGAAGTGGAGGAGGAGGAGGAAGAATAAGAGGATGAGGAAGAAGAAAAAAACAGGAGGAGGAGGAGGAGGAGGAGAAGGAAGAATGCACAAGATGAAGACGAAAAGCAATATAAAAAGAAAATAGTAGTAGTAAAAAAGAGAGAGAAAAAAATAAAGACTTCTAAGAAGATGAAGATGAAATAGGCGCAGATAGGAAGAAGAAAAAAGGATAAAAAATCCCTCCCGAAAGGCAGATGAAAGCAAGGCACAAAGAGAACAAGGATCACGAGACGATGATTTGACCTCGTATATGAAAGGACCAAGGAGAAAGGCGGCTTGAAAGGAGCGTGCGTGTTCATAAAGCCATGAAACGCGAAGAAGGCAAAAGGCGAAGAAAAATTAAAGATAGCGAAAAGTGGTTCCAGGAATGTTCATAATGATCTGAGGAAGAGGGAAGTGAAAGGAAAATGGGGGGTAAAGGAAAAAGAAATGAGGTGGGAGAGATAGGAGGGGGAAAAATAGAAGAAAAAAGGAGAGAAAGGAGAAACAGGGGGACAGGAAAGAGGAAGACAGTGCAGAGTAGCAAACCGATGCTGTCAAATTGCTCATTGGTATGATACGATCAGCGTAATCAGGAAATGGATTTAATCTAATAAATGATTTTGACGACAGCGGCTCCAAAAGCGCCGCCACCGCAAAACAAATTCGAATTTCGGGGAAAGTGAGAGAGGGCTTGATGACGTCATAGAAGCGCTCGGTCTGCTCGTCCTTTGCTCCCCTTAAGCAAGATTCTACTTTCGCTATTTCGTCAATTTATTAACTCTCTCTCTCTCTCCCTCTTTCTCTCTCATTCATTCATTCAATCACTTAATCAATCTTTCTGCCCCCTTTTTTTTTCTTTCTCATTTATTCACTCGCTAATTTATTTTTTTTCTGTATTCATTAATAAGCCCACTCTTATTTTCATTTTCTCTGTCTTTCTCGCTGTTTCTCTGTTTTTCAATTTTCACTAATCCATTAATACTTCGGGGGCGTATGTTTTGTATTATGCATTCGAAAATATTTTTTTTGGGGGAGGGAGGGGCCGTAAACTCGAAACGGGAGCATATTATCTTCGTTAACAACGATAATAATAATAATAAAAATAATATTAATAACATTATTAATAATAACAATTACAACAATAGTGTTCTTTGGATGTCTTTATGACCCAAACTATAGACATCATTGGCTTCTATATCCAATGCTGCATCATCTGAATTTTCACACTAAAACTAAAAGGATTCCACCTCAAGGGAGCGTAACTGGACATCAACCTCGTCTATTGTATATCTGCGGTCAACCATGTCACAAATTTTGTCTGAAAATGAGGTGTGAGGAAGTGTTGATCTCCACGATGACCGACACATATGTCTATTCATATTTCTGTCGGTCTGTTTGTCTGTCTATCTGTCTCTGTCTCTGTCTCTCTGTCTCTCTTTCTCTCTCTCTCCCTCCCTCTCTCTCTCTCTCTCTCTCTCTCTCTCTCTCTCTCTCTCTCTCTCTCTCTCTCTCTTCTCTCTCTCTCTCTCTCTCTCTCTCTCTCTCTCTCTCTCTCTCCCCCTTTCTTATTCTAAGGCAAAATGAGATTCATTAGACCCACATAACCTCCGCTATATAAATGTCAATAAAGTTTTAGGAATATTATCAAGAGATATAGACAATAGATAAGGTATTCACCTTTTTCCCGCCGTGTTAGTAGAAAAATCACCTGCGTATGAGGGAAGGGGACACACAAATGTGCAGGTGACAGCGCCGAAATGAGTAAAAACAGTTGAATGTCTGGCGTTTGTTATGAAAAAAATCTCCCTATTTTCTGTGTTAATTCCGGACTGTAGAGGTGAAGTTGTATTGGCATGGCGCAAGTGATACGCATCCGACAGCAGGTAAAGATATATTTACCATGTTGAGTTGCAGGTGAATTAGAATTCTGTTAAAATGTGTGAATCTAATCATGTCAGCTACGTATCTAGTAGATGTATCTATAAGAATAAACAAATAAATCAATGAATAAATAGAAAAATTAATTAAAGTACATAAATATCTACGCATGTGTGTAGATGTATGTGTATATATATGTATATGAACATTATATATATATATATATATATATATATATATATATATATATAATATATATATATATATATATATATATACATATATATATATATATAATATATATATATATTATATATATATATATACATACATATATATATATATATATATATATATATATATTATATATATATATATATATATATTATATATAATATATATGTATATTATATATATATATATATATATATATATATATATATATATATATATATATATATACATATATATATATATATGTATATATATATATATATATATATATATATATATATATATATATATATATATATATATATATATATATATATATATATATATATATGTATATACATACACACACACACGCTAATACTAACACACACATATACACAGACGTATTTTGTTGTACTTATATTGGTTATTATTATCATTATCATCATTATTAAAATTATTGTTGTTATTTTTGCTATTTGACCAACACTGAATATATGTTTCTCTTTTTCAGGCGAGAGCAGAGTGGGAGGATAACCTCAAGGGAAAGAGCAGAAGATTATATCCCGAGCAAATGAAAATATTTTTTGAAATTGTGTTAAAAAAGAGATTTATTGCGGTTTGGTTAAAAGCAGTTGGGCACTTCTGTTTCAAAGAGTTGGTTGACTTTGAACGCTAAGTTAAACGGCTCTCATTGGTTGAAAAAATCGCATTAAGTTCTCTCAACTTGGAGAACTTTGCTGCTATGTTATTTCCGAAAGGAGCGCAGAGATGCGGATCAATATCTGGTGAACAGCGTGCAAAGGCCATTATGAAAAGCGTGACGTCATAGATTGGTGATAAGGAATCCTGTCACATATGACGGACGTGATCCTGTGTAGGCGGAGATGATAAGGAATTTCATGCCCGCGTCCTTTTAGTTTCGCTCAGGTGTATCATAGTGAACAAAGGTGATGTGTCAGTGTCTCTAAGGCGGCTGAAATAACGCCAGGAGAGCAGCACCAAGAGCAACATCGGCGAGAGCGCTTTAGAAACCGGCGTCGAGAGCCATAACAGAATCAGGCTTTAGCTAAGAAAGAAGCGGGCGTTGGTGGCATGCGAAAGATCACCAGAGCTGACGTCCGCTTGAGGCCCCTGTCACTGGCGATCACCACTCCCGCTGCCGCCAGGACGTTCATCAGCCCTCCAGACCGACGCGGCGCAGAGACCCAGTTCATTAGCTGCGAAGATGATCCCGAGCTTTGGCGGCAACCGCTCAGCCAGCTATGACACGCACGTGCACAGCCTCTTTGGCCTCGGCGAGACGGACTTCGATCAGGACGGCGCGAGTGTCAGTCTCGATGACAGCCCCTTCATCCTCGAGGGTTCGGCTGCCGCGGCCCACGCAGAAGAGCAGGGGGGCGGGGGCGACGACTGGAGGTTGGGAGTGCTATCTGCCCCAGCCCACGCGCCTCTGCCTGGCTGGCGAGCCGGACATGCTGTCAGTAAGCAAACAGCGACAGCCGAGACAAGAGTATTGGGTGGAGGGGCGGTCGGGGGGGAGAGCATCCCGGCTATTGAACACAGGGCCGGCATGCTATCGGACAGCGGGGAGTCCACGCTTGACATCAGCACCGAAATGATTAAAGACATATTTGAGAGCAACCAAGAAAACGCCGTGACTCCCAAGAACGCCATCAGCTTCCCCGAGTCCCTCTGGAGACTAAAGGCCTCGGACACGACCAGCCAGCTGTTGATTGATAACGCAACTGATTGGAATAATGAAACGGGCTGGTACTGGGAGTCCGCCGATATTTCTCCTTTGTCCGTAAATGCCACGATATCATGCATGAACATGTCTCTAAATGACACGGACTGTGCGGTGGCAGGCGACGGGCCGCTGGTCGTGACGCCCGAGAACCTGTCCCTGTGTCTGCTCCTCCTCTTCTTCGCGTGTCGACATCTCGGCAACGGGCTGGTGATCGTGGCCGTCGCGCGGGAGCGGTATCTCCACACAGTCACAAACTACTTCATAATGTCTCTGGCGGTAGCGGACTGCCTCGTCGGGGCCCTCGTCATGCCCTTTAGTGCCCTCTACGACTCCTTTGACTACTGGCCTTTTGGCCCAGATTTCTGCGATGTCTGGAGAAGCTTCGACGTACTTGCCTCCACTGCGTCAATACTTAACCTCTGCGTCATATCTCTGGACAGGTACTGGGCCATAACTGATCCTTTCAGTTACCCGAGCCGCATGTCCTCCCGGCGGGCGTGCATGCTGATAGCGCTCGTGTGGGTCTGCTCGGCCCTCATCTCTTTCCCCGCCATAGCATGGTGGCGCGCTGTATCCGACCCGCATCCGCCTGGCGCCTGCCCCTTCACAGAGGACCTATCGTACCTCGTCTTCTCTTCCACCATAAGTTTCTACGGCCCGCTCTTCGTCATGGTCTTCACGTACTTCCGGATCTACCGAGCGGCCACAGAGCAGACGCGATCCCTCAAACTGGGCCAGAAGCTGGTGTCCGCCATGGGCGACGGGGAAATGGAGCTGACGCTGCGGATCCACCGCGGAGGAGGCGGCAGCAGTGGCGGCGGCGGCGGCACCAGCAGCAACGGCAACGGTGTGCACAGAGCCCACTATCCGGCAGGAAAATCCTGCAGTTATACGCAGGAGAACGGCGGCTCGGGGACTCCCACGCGCTCGGCGTCGCCCTGACGACGGGGAGTCGTGCCCCTCGGGAGCATGCACGAGGGGGCGTCGCCGGATAGCTCTACCAAAGTGGTCGCTCGAAATCTGAAAAACTTTTCGATATCACGTAAACTGTGTAAATTTGCCAAAGAAAAGAAAGCAGCCAAGACTCTGGGTATCGTAATGGGAGTGTTTATCGTCTGTTGGCTGCCCTTCTTCGTCACGAATCTCCTGTCAGGGTTGTGCGGCGAAAGGTGCATCCGCGAGCCCGCCCTGGTGGACGGCGTCGTCACTTGGCTCGGCTGGATCAACTCCGCGATGACCCGTAATCTACGCCTGCTGGCCAAGGACTTCCGCAGGTGAGTGTTCCTT